ACAATATCTGGATTCTGCTGTTAATCATGTTCAAGATGACAGACTATAAGTAGATTTGTGCTATTCATTGTTCAGTCAAATTCATTTCTGTACAGAAATGGTTAGTTCAGGGACAAAGCAAGCCTACAGGCTCAGTGAAAGGAGATTGAGATTGCTAGAAACATGACCTCTTTACAACTCTTAACAATGAATGAGTTTACCTTTCCAGGATCAGATGAACTGACTGCACCTCAGATAGCTGAAGGAATTACCTTCAGCACTCATGTCTGAGCAAGTTCTAGATCAAATCATAATCAAATCAACCTGTAAATACGAGCACAAGCATAAATCGGCTTTGATTTTCAAGAGCAAATTTTATCTGATCATCTGATATGGGAACTTCATTAATGTATTTTCTTAATAGAAGACATAGTGTAACTTGATTTCAACCAAACATTTGAGAAAGTACTCCATGATATGCTGATAACAGGCTACTTAATTGTGGGTGACATGTCAGGACAATTAGGACAATACAGAACTGGTTAGGAAATTATACTTGGTACATTGCAAAGTTTCCTAAACAATTAGGGAGAAATATGTGAAGTCATGGGATATCACAAGGATTGATTCTGAGCAGGGGTGAAATCCAGCAGGTTCTGGAGAACCGGTAGTGGAAATTTTGAGTAGTTCGGAGAACTGGCACCTCTGGTTGGCCCCAGAGTGGGGAGGGAATGGGGATTTTGCACTATCCTTCCTCCAGGAGTGAGGTGGGAATGTAGATTTTGCAGTATCCTTCCTCAGCAGTGGGGTGGGAATGAAGATTTTGCAGTATCCTTCCTCTGCCATTCCCACCAAGCCATGCTCACCAAGCCACACCACGCCCATCAAGCCACGCCCACAGAACTGGTAGTAAAAAAATTTGGACTTCACCACTGATTCTGAGTCTTCAGTTCTTCAATGTTTTTATTGTATGGAGAAATGGAAGGAATGCTTATTATTAAATATGCAGGTGATACAACTTTGAAAGGTTGATCAGCTAATACCCTAAAAGAAAATAATGAAAACAATCAGTGACAAAAGCAAAATACTTTACTTAAGAAGCAAACCTGAAATGCAGAGGTATACAATGGGAAATACCAGTCTTAGTAAAAATATTCTCAAAAAATGTGGGGGGGGAGGAATAATTGTTGATTGCAAGGGGAATATTAGCCAGAAGCATGATATAGCTACCAAAAAAAAAAAAAAAAAGGTTAAGTGAAGTTTTAGTGTGCATGGACAGAAGTATAATTTTCCAGTCATGGGAAGTAATCATTCTACTCTGTTTTGCTTTAGGCAGATTCCACCATGAACACCAAACCTTAAATAGGATTTAGAAAAAAATTACAACATTTCAATGAAGGGCAACAATGATGAGCAGGGCAGCAATGATGAGCAGGGGATTAGAAACTAAGCTAGTTGTGTTTAGCCTTGAGAAGAGACAACTGGGAAGGATAAAAATAGCACTGTTCAAATACCTGAAAGGATTTCAGTCACATAGGAAGGTCAAGACATGTTCTTACTAGCTCCAAAGTACAGAACACAGAATACAGGTGTCATGGTACGGAAAGGCAAACAAGGAAAGAGGTGAAATGCAATACGCACAAAAGAAATGTATACTGGGGGGCATTTGTTGTTCAGCCCAACCTTCTCCTTATTACCATACATGGGTTTTTCCCTTCAGGCCATCATCAAAGAATTATTTCCTTTTATTTTAATTATTCTTGGAGTATGAAATTTGCTCTACAATGGAGAAGCCTACAAGATGCAAATAATGCAAATTAGGTTTAGGCTCTACAGATGGTGTCTAGGTGTCAAAATTCACAGATATCTGGCAAACAGGTATTTTAGGGGTGTGATTTGCTTGCATTTTGCAGATGCCAGATGCCTTCCTCCCTCTAGTTCACTGTGCATGGGAAAAAGACATTTCAGCTCAGTTGTTGTCCAAGAACTCAGAGTTCCTTTTGATAGTGATAGGGATTGCAGGGAGGCATGGGAAAGAGAAAGGGAAACTGTACATGATAAGATAATAGTTCTTCAGTGTGTGTTGTTGGCAAACAAGTAGAATGTGGAGATCCTGTTCTATAGTGCCCACCATGAAATGCAAAGTAGAACTTTTGAGGAAAAGTCTATGGCAGAGATCTTCAAATTTGGCAGCTTTAAGACTTGTGGACTTCAACTCCCAGAATTCTCCAGCCAGCTATGCTGCCAAGTTTGAAGACCTCTGATCTATGGAGACTCTCAATCTTCAGGTTGTGGTTGTCCCAAAGGTGCTTTCCAACTGGCAACTGGACTTGTTTTTCCCCCCAGGAAAACTGTTTTAAGGAACCAGTTTCTAAGCATTGGGATAAAACTAGCATAGGGACAAAACTATCCCTATATCTGCAAATGAATTTATTTATTTACATGTTTAGTATGGATGAACCCTTATCTGCAGAACATATGAGCTAAAGAAGTATCCTTCTGAAAATATCATCTCCCAATTCCAGTCGTTTTACTAAAATGCCACTTAAATTCAACATTGTTTATTTACTGTAGTTCAGATTAGATCTTTCTCACTCATGCTACACCACCATGCTAAATTGTTGTTGTTGTTAGTTGTGAAATCATGTCCGACCGATTGTGACCCCATGGACAATGTTCCTCCAGGCCTTCCTGTCCTCTACCATCCCCCAGAGACCATTTAAGCTCACACCGACTGCTTCAGTGACTCCAACCAGCCACCTCGTTATCTGTTGTCCCATTCTACTTTTGCCCTCAATCTTTCCCAGCACTAGGCTCTTCTCCAGTGAGTCCTTCCTTCTCATTAGGTGGCCAAAGTATTGCAGTTTCATCTTCAGGATGTGGCCTTCTAAAGAACAGTCAGGGTTGATTTCTAGGACTCCTCTAGGAATGCTAAATTAGGTTAGGCTAAAAAATGACAACTTGTGGAGCAACTTCCTGTGTCATTCACGCCCAAAGCCAATACTAAAAAAAAAATCTGATTGTCCGTTGTATTGGGTTTCTAGAGTGTACAATATTGTATTTGTCAACTATATGTTAACATTGCTCCTGGCAGGAGTTTGTAAATCCCTAGCCAAAACTGGAATTACAAGATGGGAAAATCCTCAGTTTGATTCCAGGTTTACAGAATAAAATTGCTTGATTAAATAAAGGATGTGTTATTGTTTCAAACTGAATGTCATGATTTTAAAACGGTCGATAAATAATGCCTTTCTTGAAAAAGAATGCTTTAAAAAAATAAGAAAGAAAAAAGAAAAGGGAAGTAAGCAGTTAGGTCATTTTAAAAACACATTGGTGGTGATCTACAGTTTTAGCAAGTAAGTAGCAACAGATATTACAGCAGTTTGCAGCACCAAACCAGTCTTAACTGATTAAAATAAAATAAAAAACACCTGAACAGGTTCAGGATCACTAGGAAATCCAAGGACTTTGGGTTACCTTGGGATGAAGCAATAAACAAATAAAGAAATAAAGGATAAAACCAATTTTTATATAGTTGCCAAGAAAGCATGATGGTGCCCATATAATTAGTAAAATCTGACTGGATTTCAACCAGGGATGGGTTCTACTTACCTTTACTACCGGTTCGCAATGGGGCCACTTGCGCTAGGCGCAGAAGCTTCCTGATGACATCGGGGTTAATGGGTGGAGCCTCCCACCGGTTTTACTACTGGTTCTATAGAACCAGTCCGAACCAGGGGGAACCCATCACTGATTTCAACTCAAGGGAGATCTTAGCTTCTCTTTGTTTGCTTACCTTTTTCAAAATTTTAAGCATTCTTTTAAGATGGCTTTACCATTATGGCAATGTAATAGCAATCTGAGGTTCTGGTCAGATTGGGTTATCTTGTTCCTGAAGGCATCTGAGAAACAGTGCCAGATGATGCCTTTTAGGCTTCTAATCTGCCCTAATGTGGATCTTTCTTTCACTAAGTCAGGGTAACATTTTATTCTGACTGTTGCAAGTGGTCAAAAACCTCAGGGAACAACTCTCCAAGTTATCTTTCCTACTTCTCAACAAACCTGGAAGAGTTTCAGAACCAAAGAAAGATTCAGCCTGGAAATAAGGAGAAATTTTCTGACAGTGAGAGCAATCAACCAATGGAACAGAAGTTGCCTTCAGAAGTTGTAGGAGCTTCATCACTGGAAGCTTTCAAGAAAAGACTGCCATCTGTCAGATATGGTATAGGGTCTTCTCCTTAGGCAGGGGAGGTTGGACTAGATGACCTACAAGGTCCCTTCCAATTTGTTAATCTGTTAAACCTGTCACACTCCCTGTTTCCAAAGTACAGGCAGCTTTGAATGTCTTTGATAAACTCAGTACTGAATCTGAGATGTCTTTCTTGCTGAGCAGTCTGCCCCATTCATTGCGGAATCTTAGCTGGCTTCCAGAGTCTTAAAATTGGAAGCAAAATATTTATTACATGGAGCAAACCCGGATCTTCCAATGCAATGGACTTCAGCTTACAGGCTGGCTAAATATGGGAAGGGGAACTCATCCACAGCAGAAACAGATTTAGAAAGAAAGTTAGAAGTTGTTACTGCTTCTATTGTTATTCTATTGTTATTACTGTTAGAAGCAGTAGGCTCTATTTCACTTGGACATAGGCATTTCTGAGATTCCAGCTTGCGAAGCCCCCAATCATAATAAGGTGAAAAAAAATTAAAATAAAAGCACAAGCACCTATCATAAAATCATTTGAACACTTTAGAAATAAGAGATTTTTTTTAGTTTGGTCTAAAGGCTAAATGGTTTTCTATCCCTATCCCTTGCCACCTCTGATTGACTCTACCTGGATATTATGATTATTTGCCCTATTAGCCTTTAATTCATACAATATAGGTATATGGTTGGGCGCAACTCCCTAGTAACATGAGAAATAAACCTTGGACATGATCAAAAACGACTTTAAGCTTCTTCAAAGTAAGCATGAATTTGGTTGAAGCTTCTCAATGAACTGAAACAAAGTAGATAGGGCTTTTGGTAATTCTAGAAAATAGACATTACAAACAATTGAAAGCCACTGAGTTGTGGAAATACAATTCAGTCTTTATTATTTTCCTAATTTAAATTCAAAGTCCTCTTTTCCTATTTCTCTCTTGAGTGACAGACATATTGCCTTTTACTTCTCATGCACAGTTGTTAATACTAGTTGTACATTTGCATTCACTATATTCCACTTTTGAAAATCTCTGGCCTGTAATAAACTCCAGGCAAACTTTTCCTGTTATCATTTACATATTTCTATAGTCTGCAGAGCAGAGGTCCATGGACAGCATGCAGATCTCCAATCCCCATGTAAAATCTCACTGTCAAAATTCAAATTCAATGGAAGGAAGGAAAGAAGAGAACATCAGCCTTGGGGATAAAAAGTTTAAGAGTATCCTCAGACCAAAAGGGGATATGGTGGTTCAGTGGCTAAGACGCTGAGCTTGTCGATCGAAAGGTCAGCAGTTCACCGGTTTGAATCCCTAGTGCTGCGTAACAGGATGAGCTCTCGTTATTTGTCCCAGTTTCTGCCAACTTAGTAGTTTGAAAGCACGTAAAAAATGCAAGTAGAAAAATAGGGACCACCTTTGGTGGGAAGGTAACAACATTCCATCCGCCTTTGGCATTTAGTCATGCTGGCCACATGACCATGGAGACGTCTTCGGACAGCGCTGGCTTTTCGGCTTTGAAACGGAGATGAGTACCACCCCCTAGAGTTGGGAATGACATATGTGCGAGGGGACTCTTTGCCTTTACCTATACAGACCAAAAAAAAAAAAAGCCTGATTGGCTCTAGAATCACTTCTCAAATCAACCCATTTGTGGAGGGGCAGAAAGAATGATTAACAATTAGGTTTACTGAGGGATATGAGGTATGAATATTGCACAGATGCCAAGACATCAACCTAGTAGTGAAAAAACTAAGACTTTGCCTGAATGGGTGGAATCTCATTCAAGAATTATGAATTTAGGCTATTCAGCATTTGAGCATTCTACCTAACCCCTCAGAACAAGTCTTATAACACTGGCTTCCCTGCAGGCATTTATGTGTTCAGGATAGATGCTTACCAAACAGAAGCTGACTGGACTGCATACATGTAGGCTTTCTTCTGCAGACATTCATACTGAGCTTGCAAATGCTTCCAAAAAGCCAACATTATTTCATAACTAAGGAGAAGGAAGAATAGAGACTTAGGTAGAGAGCTTGTCAGTTTGATAATGCCTAAACAAGGCTCATAGATTAGCTAAGTGAGAAAATGCTTTAATTTGCATAATCTTTGTAGCAATTCTATTATATTTGATGGAAATCTTGCTTGCTTACAAAGTAGGGAAGAAGAGGCAAACACAAATTTCCACCCTTATGTAGATGCTAGTAGTGGTCTCGATTTCTCTTGGCTGCTATCAAAAGAGCTTCTGAGAAGCAATCCTGTTTTGTCAGGATACATGTAGAAGCAAATTAAACATGACCTAAGAACAGAAAGCAAAAGGAGATAACAACAAAAGCAGACTCAAGCAAAGAGTAGAAATAATGGAACACCTTGACCTAGAACATTCCTATTCATGTTGGCTATTGAAAAAGTTGCTGTTGTCATGCTTTTTCTCCTTCTCCATCTGAAGTGGCTCCCTGTGAATTACTGTATGTCTTTAATCTGGAAGTCAAGGACAAGACTTTGTTCTTATAAGCCACTGTGGGAATCTCTTCCTCCTCCTCGGAAAAAAGCTAAATTCTGGAACAAATAAATAAAATACTCTATATTGAAATCATGAACAGTTCAAACAGAGCCTTAGTAGTACAGTGGTCTAAAGTACCCTGTTATTAAGACCAGCTGCCTGCAATCACTGCAGGTTCGAATCTCGCCAGGCTCAAGGTTGACTCAGCCTTCCATCCTTTCTAAGGTAGGTAAATTGAGGACCCAGTTGTGGGGGCAATAAGCTGACTTTGTATAAATATACAAAAGGATGAAGGCTATTGCTTAGCACATTGTAAGCCGCCCTGAGTCTCCGGAGAAGGGCGGCATATAAATCAAATATTAAAAAAAAAGGTGGAAAGTAAGTTTTGTCTGCTTTTTTTTTTCTTTTGCTATTCCATTTGAGTGTTAGTTCTGCAGAAGAAATGGAGATTTCAGAAGGACCCTTCTAAGTATAGAAAGTAATCTTCAGAGAATATAACCAAGAGCCAGATAGCCGTATGTTTGAATCATTGGCTTCACATGTGCCCAATCAGGACTGGCCAGGTTTCTAGTGCAGCCTTAACCCTCAAGAGCTGCCACTAATCTGCCACCAATTAAAGATAAAAATAAATATTAAGTTTCATGATTTTACAATTACAAACATGTATGGGGTAAACTAGATTGATAATAATGTTGGGAGCAGTTTCTGAAAATGCCTGTTTCTCTACACACACATACACTTTCCTCCCCACCCACCTCACGTGCAACTTGTAACACATTCCACAAGTCTTCCTTGCCAATCTCAATCCAAGAAATACGTTTGCTGGAAATAAAAGGTGATTTGTGCTGCCAGACCTTACCATTTGGCACCAAATTTCAGCAACATGATCTTAATCATCCCCAGGGATTGCCAAAAGGGGAGAAGAAATCCATGCAGCCTTGCTAGTTATGGATTGTTATACCTCTGGTACAGGGGGGAAATCTACTTACCTTCCTTACCAGTTCAGAAGCGCATGCTCCCCGTGCGTGCACACCTTCAGCGCATGTGCAAAACCTTCTGCACATGCACAGAAGGTAAAAGAAGATTAATTCCTGGTTAAAACCAGGAAGTAATGACACCCAGGCGGCAATCGCTACTGGATTGCCGAACCGCAGGGAAAAATTGCTACCAGATCAGGTGATCCGGTCTGATCCGGGAGCATTTCACCCCTGCCCTGGTATAACAGGAACCAAAACTACTGTATTAAGACAGAGAAGGAGAAAGTTGTTTAAAAAAAACAAAAACAAAGGTACTGCAGAGTCAAGGAGTCAGCTTTTGGTTAGGACCTGCTCCCTATATTCACTATGCCTGAATTCCTTACTATTTAAAACCAACCCAGTGTGAAGCATGTATTATATGAGAGAAGACAACCGGCCTTTGCAGTAGAACCTGAAATTGGCCAAGGGAGGGAAAACATGCCTTTCTGGTTTGAAACAAAAGCAGGCTGTACAATAAGCATGCAAAAAATCCCATCCCACAAGTCGGCTTGCACTGGAAACCTCCCCGGTCAATAGGAAGAGATGAATGGAGGTACCCGCTGAATAACCTCACTTTGCAACTTTTATGTGAAGGGTTGATAAATGAAGGCAGGGAGAGGTACAAGAAAGTGATTAAAACCAGCCTGCAGAAAAGGAAATCATAACCTCCCTAGGCTTTAAACATTTTTTCCCCCTGTGCTTGAGTTGGTTGGATTTTTAACCCTTTCTCATCTATGAACATTCATGCTGACTGCACACAGGTATGTGTGTTTTACAGCAACCAACCAAACCATTCAACAACCCTCAGTGCCTCTTATCTTTTAGGTGTGGGTTTGCAGCCATTGTACTGGTATAATGGGTGGCCAAGGTGCATATATGTGGCTGTCCTGCTCCCTTGCATTTCACCAAGAGGTATATGCCATTTCCAAGAGAAAGAATGAAGAAGTCAACTTTTTATGCTCAACATTTTATTTAAAAGGCAAATAGGAAACGATTTGCCTTTTAAAAAGTTTCTTGATTTTTTAAAAGAGTATATAGTCTACACCAAGGGTGTCAAACTCAAGTCCCAGGGGCTAGATTCGGCCTGTGGGGTACTTAGATCTGGCCCACAGAGCCACCCTGGAAACAATGAAGGACTGGCCCACAGTGCTTCTGCCAGAGAAAACAGGCTCCCAAGCTCCATTTTCGGCTGCCATGGCCTCCTGCAACCCTCTGCCAGTGAGAAGGGATCTCGTGGCCCTCCTGAGCTCTGTTTTCACTGGCAGAGGGTTGTAGGAGGCTGTGGCAGCTGAAAACAGAGCTCGGGAGCCCATTTTCGCTGGCAGAATGCTCGGGCCGCCACAGGCGCCCCCAACAGGAATGACTGTGCTGGCCATGCCCACCCTGGCCATGCCCACCTAGCCTCCCGAGGTAAAACACAACCCTGATGCGGCCCCCAATGAAATTGAGTTTGACACCCCTGGTCTACACTCTACAGGGTTGGGATTTTAGAACCATACTCCTTACTTTTCTTACATAGCATTTAGGGATCTAAATTATCCAGCATCAGTTGTGGGTTTCAACATTTTTTACTACCGGTTCTGTGGGTGTGGCTTGGTGGGTATGGCTTGGTGGGCATGGCAGGGGAAGGATACTGTAAAATCTCCATTCCCACCCCACTCCAGGGGAAGGATACTGTAAAATCTCCATTCCCTCCCCAATCCAGGGGAAGGTTACTGCAAAATCCCCACTTCCTCCCAATCAGCTGGGACTCGGGAGGCAGAGAATAGATGGGGGCAGGGCCAGTCAGAATTTTTACTACCGGTTCTCCAAACTACTCAAAATTTCTGTTACTGGTTCTCCAGAACTGGTCAGAACCTGCTGAAACCCACCTCTGTCCAGCATGGTACCTGAAACTAGCAATCTCCTAGTTGCATTGGTGGAAGTAAGCAGATGCAGCACCACTCAATGGAAATTAAACAGGGTTGGAGTTGGTTCATACATGGATGAGAGATCATCAAGGAATATCTGGATGGTAGGCTACACTGGGTTGTTACAGTAGGGAAAAAACACCTCAGGAAACGGCAGTGGCAACCTAACCAAGATGTTCATGAAGTGACCAGAATTTGGTCTAGACATGAAAAGAAAGCAAAGCTGAAAGATTTTCTAATTTTTTTCTTAACAGCAATATATTTTAATATTTATATGGATTTTTCCCAACTGCATTCTTTGCCTTTACCAACAGAATGCCAGACAATTTCCAAATGTTGAAATTGTCATGCTGATATATTTGAAGATCATTGGAATGGAAAACACTACTACTGATAATGCTTTTCCTGTTCATTCTTCTTACTGAGAATAGCTGCATGACTGCTTTGATTCAGAGTGGGAAATAGAATCAAATGGATTAGATTAGAATGGATGCTACTGTATGAAAGACCTAAACATCAGCCATTTTCCAGAAGCAACATCTGAAATTAATCTCCAACCTCTATTAACAAGTATCCAAAAGAAAAGAGAGGGGTAAATGGTAACTCTGACATTTCCTATAGATGCAGGGAATCCATGCATGCAATCCAAACAACTCGATCCCAAATTTCTGTATACCGAATAACAACTGCAAATTCTTATAAGTCTAGAAAAGTTGCAAGGCAGTTTGGGCATTGGAACAAGCCTTTTAATAATTATTCACTGATTAGGTGAATGATTAGGATTAGAATTATTGTGTTAGGCTGTGGTTTGCTAAACTAATAACTGTTGAACAGGCCATAATTGGTAGATCTCTACCACCTGTTATTCCATAAACTATGATTTATAAATAAAAATGGCTGGGTTTACCCAACACACTACGTCAAAATCAAACAAACCACATGAGGGTTCATTGCACTGTTGAATTAACTACTGAATCTTTGCTCTGGATTTTGGAAATTTACATGGTGCATGTATTTATCCATTTATTTATTTATTTTAAATATAATCCTCTGAAATGGAAGGGAAAGAACTAGACCACATTTATCTTAAACTTGGCTAGTTACTCAACAATCTAGTGGTTGAGTAACTAGCTGAATCCGGAAAATGCAAGACTTAAATGGTAAAATACTATCAAACATTGTTAAATTGAATAAACATGCCTAGAGTTGCATCATCAAGTTCAACTTTAAGTATTACATCAGGCATTAGACTGACTGTTTTAAAATCAGTTCCATCAGTCTTTTCAAAGGATGCCGATTATTCTTTTGCTGCTTGAAGTACATAGATAGCTAGATAGTTTTTAAACCATACAGGCCCAAGCAGATGCAATTTCAGACTGCTTAATCTGAAATAGTATCATTAAATTCTGCGAGGCTATTTCTGATTAGAAAATGCAGAAAGAAATTGCTACACTAAATCAGCCATTTCTGAAAGGGAAGCTAGCTAAACAAGAAGTGATCCATTTAACAATATGCAGCACTTACTTTAAATCAAGTAGTATTTAATTATTATGGGTGTACAGGTCTGTCTCAACCAATCCATATCGCTAATGGCAACTTCTATGCAAGCCTTGTGCTCAAGTCAGTATTATTGAGTGAAGTGGTGCAGCTACTTCATTTTTGCTATGTAGAACTGGAATTTTTGTGATTCTCAGATTCTCAGGTTGTGTGATTCAATAAAGAAAAGCCCCACTGCAGAATTCTGCAGAGTATTACTGATTAGGGATGGGATTTCAGAATTTATGCATAACAAACCTTCTAGTGAAGAACTGCACATAAGACTTGGTTTGCCATGCTCAGTATACGAGGTATAGTATCATATAGACAGTAT